CACGCACACCCAAAAACATTTCACAGACGCAAGGATATAACTATGTCATGGATCCTAGGAAAATTTTGAATTACCAACGGACTACATAAAGCTAAAAACGAATAGCTGAGAAATTGGGCCATTTTATATCAGAAAAATCAATTCAATGGCATTTTATTCCTCCGGCACTTTCCATTTTGGTTGACTATGGGGAGCTGGAGTAAAATCGGTAAAAAATCATCTCTCAAAAACTATTGCCGATGCTAAGCTCATATTTGAAGATTTAGGAACCCTTCTAGCAAAAGCCGAAATTAATTTAAATTTCCGTCCGCTTACATCATTTACAGGAGACATAGATGATATAGAAGCGTCAACACCAGGGCGCTTAGGTGGTACAAGGTATACTTTTTAGTTAGCTCAAAACTATTCAATGTACCTACTGAAAAAATTAAGAATTTTACAAACGCTTAAAATAGCCCACACTTTCTGTGAGAAATAATTAATTTTAAGAAGTATAATTTTTGCATAAATATGTCAAATTTTAATATCAAATTTAATTTATTTATTTATTTTAATAAATAAATATATTAAAATCAATTAATTAATGTCAAACCAAACAACAAGAAATTTTTCATTTGAACAGAAAAGTTTGACTTTTTTGTTTATTTATTTCCTTAAGTTCTTTTAAAATAATGTTTCAAGTATCATAGGGTTTTTTTGTAATAAAATAGAACAACTTTTTACTAGTCATGTATAATTCGCGAACGAACTAATTTTAAAGAACGAATCACTTCACTGAACTTAGCTTATTAGTTCATTTCTTCAAAAATGAATCGTTCAACTAATGTCTTTATATCTAACAAGTCCCAATACTCAATTTTTTTTACGAAATGTTACGAATTTTTGGCCTCGTTGTTGGTTTTTTCTTTAAATGCCACTGGTCGTGTCATATTTTTTATTATTTTTTTCTTTTTTTTTACGTAAAAAAGAGATTAATCTTTTAAAAAATCTCAGGATATTATACACATTTTTTAAAAAGCTTCCCATTTAAATTCTATTGCACGAAAAAGAAAGAAAGGTAGGAGGAAAGAAAAAATGAAAAAAAAATTCAAATTCATATTTCAGTATGGTTTCAAATGTTAATGAGGAAGGATGTATGATTTTTTATGCACATTTTGTATTTCCCAATAAGGTAAGTTGAGTAGTGTCGGCTAACAAAAATGTTATTAAAAGTAATATAGGTTGACACATTTCAACAATTTGAATTATCTCATTTCGATTATTCATACGTTACTTATAAAATTGTTTCAAATAATTTCAGTTAGTTTTTAAATTATTAAAAATAAATATGTATGTACCTACTTCCAATAAATTTTTTTTTAAATAATTATTTTAAAACTATTTTAAACATGTTATATTGAGTGCTTCAAAAATTTTGCTGTGCTCTTTTTTCATATTTTATTAGCAGGTAAACAAGAGCAATCTATTTATAAAATGTCCCTGCATGTGTATGTATGACCTATCTTAATTCTAAACGGAAAGACTTTTAAAATACCTGAACAAAAATTTTAAAATACCTGTTATTTTACAGTCGGAATTTTCGAGTCATTTGGTAAAATACCATTTATTTCAAAAATAGAAAAATATTCAAATCCGGTCATAAAAATATATGATTGTTTTTTCCAAACATTTTAAATATTTTTTTTCTTAGGTAATTGATATAAATGATAGTAAGTTTTTAATATTTTTTCAAATAAAAATAGAGGTAAAATTTTGAAGTTTATATAAAATTTGTATTTAACAAATAGTATTTGATTGTATTTTAGATATTATTTTCTAATTCCCTCTTCAAATTTTTTCTTTGCTATGTATTTATATCAATATTTAAGAATTATCTTTCATTAATTATATTTTCAACTTGACACCACAGGTACTTCCCATATCTTGCGTTAACTTACCCTATGAGAAAAAAAAGCTGTTCACTTAAAAATAATGAAATGCTTTCAGTAACAAATAAAACGTTGAAGGCGAAGGTTGTGTTTGTTGTTTGTCCGTTTTTTTTTAAATTTTAAAATAATTATCAATGAAAATATTAATATATTTTCTTGATTTTTCAAATATATGTTCTAAATTTTACCTGCTTTATAATAAGTGTGAATTTATTTTAATATTTCTTCTCAAAAAATAGCCACTTCGATTTAAAAAAGGCCATATAAAATAAGGTGTGCTTTCAAGTTTCTCTCTGAGCATTGGGACTTGTTAGTTATAAAGACATTAGTTCAACCTTCACTAAGAATTTCAATTCTCATTTTTTGTTATAAAAAAAAAGCTTACATATTTCATTTACAATTGGTAATTGATGTACATTTCATATTTTTCTTAATTCTTTCTGTATTAACATTGTACAATACAAAAAAAAACTGAACTTAGTATGTCGTTCAGTTTTTTTTATATGCAATACTTATAAAAACGAACGCATATGCAATACTTATAAAAACAAACGACATACTCCAATATGGAATATTGATAAAACCAAATGAGAAGTAAAATAAATGAAATACTATCCACACAAAAGTGTCCGCATCAGTTGCCAATATAAATACAATATAAGTAAAATTGAACGATATACTAAATAGAATACAAATAAAAACGAACGAGACTTGAAGTAAATGAAACTTTATTCTATACAAATAAAACTGACGGAATCACTTGCCTTACTGATATACATAGTATGTAATGCAAATGAAAGTATTGTATCCCAGCATTTACACGTACAAGTTACTTGCAAGAAAGTTGCAATACATACAAAAATTTTACTAACACATTGAAATATTTCTACTTGCTTGTTTACTTGCAGTTCAACTTGCAAGAAAATTTTGCTGCCAGTAATTTGAGCAAGTAATTTGACATATTGAGAAATTCACAAAAAAAAAATTTGTTGTTTTAATTTTTTTTTTTTTTTAATTTAAAATTTTTGAATTTTGTTTTGAAAAAATTAAACTTAGCAAACTTATGGTTTCTAAAATTTATAAACAATTATATAATATTGCTAGTTGTTTTCTTCCCAAAGACATTTTCAAAAATTAACTTGCTAAACGCCTACGTCATAATAGCAAGTAATTTGACATTTCGAAAAACTAATTGACAATTAATATTATACAAACTTGCTTGCAAGTAACTTGTATGTGTAAATGCTGGGTATAACACGAGATATTAAGTTTAAATGACATTCAATACCAATAAAATTGAGCAAAATGCTTAATAACCTGTGGCTATTGCAATCCAAATAAAAACGAACGAGAACTGACCAAATATAAATAAAATGCAATACAAATATAAAAAAATTGACCGATTTATATCATACGTGTCTATTACCTAATATAAATGCAATACAAATAAAAGTTGCCGAATTAAAAATCCAAAAAAAACTAAGTAAAAAATTGAAAGATTAAGCTAGTTGATTCAAATTGAAAGCTACCTGTATGAAATAAAAAAAGTAAACCTTGAACTGGGCATATGTCTTATATTTATCCATAAAATATTTAAAAAAGGAGAATAATTATGATCGTTTTTTTACCTAAATATTTTAAGTAAAAGAGAAAACTGAAAAAAATTAATTATTATATGCTAACATTATAACATTAGGAATTAAAATAAAAGATTAAAGTAAATTAAACAAAAGTTTAAAAAAATTAGAATGTGATTTCAGTTTTTTTCGAGGATTAAAAATAAAGGTAATTACAAATATTTTTATATGTAATTACCTCTATTACAGATTAGAAGTGAAAAAAAGGAACAATTGAACGAGTTTTTATAATCAGTCAGTGAAAAAAAGTAGTTCGTTCAGAACGAATCACTGGAATGAACGATATTGCCCATGACTACTTTTCACCTTCCATTACATACTAATTTTCTTTAAATCGATTAATAATTACGGAACTTAAGGTGCTTTAAGGTGCCGAAACCAAAAATTTTCAACTGAAAACCCTGAATATAACCTTCTTGACGGTGGACTAAACCAGGTGATAGCAATCTTCATTTTGTTTTCTTAACAGAACTGAATTAGTCTACCACCTTTCTCATTTCTGTTCTTTCAACTAAAACAATCGGTTACTCTCTGCTTGAGAGGAGTTCGCTTTGGCGTTGAAGTGATATATTTAATTCATGTATTAAGTTGACGATAAACTCATTATACTTGTATTAAGTTGATGATAAACTCATCATACTTGTATTAAGCGGATGGTTGAATGTGGGAATTGAAAATTGGGGTGTTGATTGTCTTGGAAATGTTACTTTATTGGTTTCCCATTGCCCTCTGAAACCTACAGCGTTGGCAATTCAATTGCTTACTCGCCTTTAGAATTAAATCTTTTAATTCAAGAACAAGAAGTAACCCCACTACATCGCTAATTTACGCAACGAACTGCTTGTTCCGAGACAGTCATCCGCTCATAGCTACCAGTTGCTTGAGAAACTCGACTCTATTATACATCTACTTTTTTTCGATATACGGCCATTTATTATTATAAAATTGTTAAACTCATTATGATCGCATTAAATTTCAATCTTAGTAATAATTTAAAATCTTAATAATAAATTATTATTTTTACATTTGCCTCGTGAGCGTGTTTTTTTTTTTTTTTGCAAGAATTGTTATATAATATTTTGACAAGTCATATTAATCCATGTACTTTGACGTTGTCAAAAAATAATTCAGTAACTTTAATAGATTTTTTTTAAAACTAGTTTATTTTTTATGAAAATTTTGCTGAATTATTTTTTAATTTTTGTCCCGCAGAGGGACCTTATATAAATTATTGTTGTTATAATTTATTATTGAAATTGTTTTATTTAGTTAGTATTAAGTACCAGCTTATTATATATATTAGTTATAAATTTGAAATGAAAAAATACTTTTGAATACGAAAAAATGAGAAAAATATTACAGTCCACAATGCGAATATCTACATCATAAGCTACAACATAAAAAACTTTACGTTAAAATTTACACCATGCGGTAACATTATTACGCAATACAGCACAGCATACTATTTCCATTTTGGGAAAAATTTAGATTTGTTTTAAAGTTTTGTAGTCTATAATTTTACCAGATTCTAACTATATACTATATAGTATGATGAAAGATCGATTGTAAGAAACTTTGTAAAAAAGTTGAATGCCAATAGAATATAAAAAGTTAAAAATACAATTTAATAGGAAGTAATCTGAAAAAATTTGATAATTTTAGTCGTGTTAAAAAAGACGAAATAAAGATATTAAGGTCAAATGGCTTTTATGATACCAGTCATGAAAAATAATTATGAAATATACAATGGAGGAAGGTCAAGAAAAATTTCAGAATCTTCTGCAACAGAATGTCAGAGCTTATCAACATCTCCTGGTATTGATTATGTGTCATCAAGTCACCGTAATCATATGCAAAGAAGCTATTCTTCTAAACCATTTCCGCGGAATCATTCTAAAACATCTGAAGATTCTTTCGGGATTTCTCCAACATATTTAAGCTTGCAAGCGAGTTGCAACCCAACAGATCCTCCAAAATCTGTCACTTTGCAAAGTAGTCGGAATAGTTTAGCACGAAAGTTCAACACTAGAGTAATGGTAGAAAAATTGCGAACTCTTTCTTTGTTTCGCAAAGAAAATTCGACAGAACGCTCATGAAATATTTTAAATGGAAGGCCTTAAAATGCTGTATTTGTAAATAAAATTAAATATATTTTTTTAAATGCATTGTGAGATTTAGCATTATAAATACTTTACTAAACTAAAACTTGATTGCCAAATTTGGGGAGGTAGCCTTATGTCACTCCATCCGTTTCCTTAGTTTTTCAAAGGAAATGAACATTATGTATGTATGCTTTTTGTTGCTTGAAATATGTATCTATTATAAAATAATATAGTATTTGTGCATACGCATATGTTTGCAATGTGAAAAGGCGGATGTAAAGATAAGGATCTAACAAGGAAGTAAAAAAACTCAATTAATTCAAACAAAATATGTACTGGTCAAGAGTGCTGGTCACTGGGGACTACTGATCGCGGATGACTATGGAGACTGGTAGTCGTCAGTGGAAATTGTCAGGTTAAAGCAAAAGAAACGTAAACCAAGCGACAAATCACGAGATGTGAACTTTATATGTACATATGTACATAGTTATTAAATGTTCCCCAACTTCACTTTGAAATTCAAAAATTATTTCAATCTTTATTAAATCTTAAAACTTTTTTGCATTATCCAAAAAAAGTGCGTCAAGAAATATGTGTATCATTATTTTGGGTGTATCAAACAAACAGTTATTAAAGTGCTGGTGCAGATGAGTAAAACTTAAGCTGGATTAATTGGCTCGTCCTTTTTGAGTTGAGCTATTTCTCTTGATTGTTCATTGGTTCGTCTGCATTTATTACTTTTTTGACAAGAATTATATGGAATTGCAGTAGCGCAATACACGCCTGACCGAAATACAGGCCTGGACCCTAAGAGAGAGTGACAGTTCACAGCTGACGAATTTAAACGTGTTCTTATGGGATCTATAGAGGGCCCTTTCTAACAACATGAATCTCCCACAAGATAAAGTTTTTTCAAATTTTTAATTAGAAAAAGTTATAATTCAATCTTTTCCTACTTTGCTAGTGCTTACATTCTCGTAAAACATTAAAATAATGTCTTTATATCTAACAAGTCCCAATACTCAATTTTTTTTACGAAATGTTACGAATTTTTGGCCTCGTTGTTGGTTTTTTCTTTAAATGCCACTGGTCGTTTCATATTTTTTATTATTTTTTTCTTTTTTTTTACGTAAAAAAGAGATTAATCTTTTAAAAAATCTCAGGATATTATACACATTTTTTAAAAAGCTTCCCATTTAAATTCTATTGCACGAAAAAGAAAGAAAGGTAGGAGGAAAGAAAAAATGAAAAAAAAATTCAAATTCATATTTCAGTATGGTTTCAAATGTTAATGAGGAAGGATGTATGATTTTTTATGCACATTTTGTATTTCCCAATAAGGTAAGTTGAGTAGTGTCGGCTAACAAAAATGTTATTAAAAGTAATATAGGTTGACACATTTCAACAATTTGAATTATCTCATTTCGATTATTCATACGTTACTTATAAAATTGTTTCTAAACGGAAAGACTTTTAAAATACCTGAACAAAAATTTTAAAATACCTGTTATTTTACAGTCGGAATTTTCGAGTCATTTGGTAAAATACCATTTATTTCAAAAATAGAAAAATATTCAAATCCGGTCATAAAAATATATGATTGTTTTTTCCAAACATTTTAAATATTTTTTTTCTTAGGTAATTGATATAAATGATAGTAAGTTTTTAATATTTTTTCAAATAAAAATAGAGGTAAAATTTTGAAGTTTATATAAAATTTGTATTTAACAAATAGTATTTGATTGTATTTTAGATATTATTTTCTAATTCCCTCTTCAAATTTTTTCTTTACTATGTATTTATATCAATATTTAAGAATTATCTTTCATTAATTATATTTTCAACTTGACACCACAGGTACTTCCCATATCTTGCGTTAACTTACCCTATGAGAAAAAAAAGCTGTTCACTTAAAAATAATGAAATACTTTCAGTAACAAATAAAACGTTGAAGGCGAAGGTTGTGTTTGTTGTTTGTCCGTTTTTTTTTAAATTTTAAAATAATTATCAATGAAAATATTAATATATTTTCTTGATTTTTCAAATATATGTTCTAAATTTTACCTGCTTTATAATAAGTGTGAATTTATTTTAATATTTCTTCTCAAAAAATAGCCACTTCGATTTAAAAAAGGCCATATTAAATAAGGTGTGCTTTCAAGTTTCTCTCTGAGCATTGGGACTTGTTAGTTATAAAGACATTAATTAAAACATTTATTCAAAAAACCTTCCAGTTTCCGTTCATTTATTTAAGATTTCAATAAAAGCTACACTACAGGGAAAAAAAAGTAGTACATTTTTTTTTCGAAGTAATTGACTCTGGTATATATTTTCAAATTTGGAGAAATTCACATTTGATATTTACGAGTTTTCTAATTTTGTGGTATATCTTCATGATTATCTATATATTTTTCATGTGTATACTATATTAATTAAACTTTATTATATTTAATTAAACTTTATTATATTTACATATATGCTTCAAAATTCATAAAAATTACTGCATATGTGAATTCTTTTTATATTTAAACTTCGTATAATTTTTTTTATGTATTTATGTGATTATAGTTTTGTTAGGAATTATTTTCACATTGTTAGCAAGGCTAGGTAATTTACCTAAACTACCGCATCATACCTTAGAACTTATACAAGTTTCTTTATAATATTTTATTACTACTTGAAACGACGAATCTTTTTTAAAGATCATAAAATTTTAAAAGCACTTTCATAATAATTATGAAACTTAAAATCAGATAATTACAAACTTAAAATAAAATCTAATAAAATTTTTATTAACTTTATTTTAAGTCGTGTATTCTAGACTAAAAAATATAGTACCAAATTTTTTTTTATTCACTGTATTATCATTTACTCTCAATTCTCTCAGTTATGTTGTCTGAAATGGTGGTTCAAAAAATGCGGAAAAACTCAAAAATTTATTTAATCAAAATTATAGTTAAAATTTGAATTCTTGATATGTTCAGAAAACTCCAAATTTCATGGTAGTATGAAAATTTTTAGGTTTCAACTTTTTCTACAGAAAACTGGAAATGAAAATAGGCAATAATCATAATTTTTCTAAAAAAAAGAAAAAACAATTAATCTTCTGAAATATAAATTTGACGTTTTAAAAAAACCTCCGTACTAAAGTTGAAGTTGATTCAACTGTTTCAGAGAGAGAAAAAAGCTGTACTAAAAATAAAAAGAATGTCAAAAATCCAAATTTTTATGTAAAACTAAAGTCTTTATATCTCACAAGTCCCAATGCTCAGAGAGAAACTTGAAAGCACGACCTTATTTTATATGGGTTTTTTTTAAACCGAAGTGGCTATTTTTTGAGAAGAAATATTAAAATAAATTCACAATTATTATAAAGCAGGTAAAATTTAGAAAATATATTTGAAAAATTAAAAAAATATATTAATATTTTCATTGATAATTATTTTAAAATTATAAAAAAAGCGGAAAAACAACAATCACATCCTTCGCCTTCAACGTTTTATATGTTTTTTTTCTCATAGGGTAAGTTAACTCAAGATATGGGGAGTAACTGTGGTGTCAAGTTGAAAATATAATTAATGAAAGATAATTATTAAATATTGATATAAATACACAGTAAAGAAAAAATTTGAAGAGGGGATTAGAAAATAATATCTAAAATACAATCAAATACTATTTGTTAAATACAAATTTTATATAAACTTCAAAATTTTACCTCTATTTTTATTTGAAAAAATATTAAAAACGTACTATCATTTATATCAATTACCTAAGAAAAAAAAATATTTAAAATGTTTGGAAAAAACAGTCATATATTTTTATGACCGGATTTGAATATTTTTTTATTTTTGAAATAAATGGTATTTTACCAAATGACTCAAAAATTCCGACTGTAAAATAACAGGTATTTTAAAATTTTTATTCTTTATGTAATATTCTTTCCGTTTAGAATTAAGATAGGTCATACATACAAATGCAGGGACATTTTATAAATAGATTGCTCTCGTTTACCTGCTAATAAAATATGAAAAAACGGAACAGCTAAAATTTTTCAAGCACTCAATATAACATGTTTGAAATAGTTTTAAAATAATTATTTAAAAAGAAATTTATTGGAAGTAGGTACATACATATTTATTTTTAATAACTTAAAAACTACCTGAAATTATTTGAAACAATTTTATAAGTAACGTATGAATAGCCGAAATGAGAAAATTCAAATTGTTGAAATGTGTCAACATATATTACTCTTAATAACATTTTTGTTAGCCGACACTACTCAACTTACCTTATTGGGAAACACAAAATGTGCATGAAAAATCATACATCCTTCCTCATTAACATTTGAAACCATACTGAAATATGAATTTGAAATTTTTTTTTCATTTTTTCTTTCCCCCTACCTTTCTTTCTTTTTCGTGCAATAGAATTTAAATGGGAAGCTTTTTAAAAAATGTGTATAATATCCTGAGATTTTTTAAAATATTAAACTCTTTTTAATGTTTAACATTCGGAGTTGAAATTATTTGTTAATTGTTCGTATATTTTACATTCTAAATTTTTTCTGTACAAATATCATTAAAAAGTTTAATAAAAGTATTTTCTAAAATCTTTAATTATCCATGAAATTCTTGGATGGTTTAAAAAAAACTGTAAAATATTTTTTTTTTACAACTATTTAAAATTTTTTTTTAATATTATACGTCTTTTTAAAATTTATTTTATTATTTTGCAAAATTATATTATATAAATTATAATAATTTTTTAAACACTTTTTTTCCGTTTCGCTTTTATAATATGAATACACCTTTTTTTCCACCTTGTGCTGGAAGAAGTTACAGAAATAAAACTCCCGCTTTTAAAATTTTTAATATTTTTTCCTATACTTTATATACGAAAAAATAAATAGCTCCCGCTTTTAAAAATACATTATAAAAAAACAGGTAGACATCGATTGCGTACTCTTTCCCTCTCCCAAAAATTCTTATGTGTATAAAAATGAAAACAAGGAGGTATACTGCTTAACTCTTTTAACTAAGGGAATTTTTTGTATACAAACATTGGTAAGT